GTGCTGGGTTTCGTTCAATCCCTGATATTAGGAGAGTTAGCTTTTTGTCAATTGCAGCAGTTCGATTGAGCCGGAGCAGGGTTGCTGGTTTATTCTAGTCATTTGTCATAAACACCGGTGCTGGCACCGGCACCAACAACCATTTGTGTTCTTGACAGCTCCTTGGGTGGGATAGATGGCACTTGGGTCTTTACCGCGTGTGTGCGAGGAGACGTGGCTTTCCCACAGAGGTTTCAATTCATAAAGCCGCTTTATTTCAGTCGGCTTATTTACCGAATTTATTTTAAATCTGGGGCAGTGTTTTTTGATATAGGTAAGACTGTCACTAATTTTCGAATTGCCATAGCCGACTTCGCTAAGACCTCTTGGAAAAAGTTTTAAAACTTAACTCACAAAAGTATATATATTTTTTGTTTTTTAATTTTTTTTTTCGTTTTTCACTTCCTGTGTCAGTTGTTATTTTACTCAAAGTTCTGTTTGCTAAGTTTAGTCGCCATGATGTTTTCATCCTACTGATTTAATTGTAGCTACACTCATTTCGGTTCCAATCTCTTGATTGAATTGTAGAGTTCGATTCTATTTGAGAGTTGTAGAGAGAGGGAGTTGGGGAGTTTTTGTCGGTCGTCTTGTGTAATCTATCGCAGCAGTTCCCGGGGCCTCTAGTGGCAAAACCGACATAGAAGTGGAACCAACATTCCCTGTGAACGCGTCTTTGTGCTGGTATCATCGCCTCCTCTCTATAGCTCACTCAAGAGCGAGGTTTGGTTGTCGTTATTGATGCCCGTTCTAGGGGCCAATTTTTTTTAGTTATATGGGAGAACCGATAAAAACTCCTGTTACTTGGGGTTATGTGGTAAGCTGCAGATGTTTGGCAGCTTTTTAGGGATACTCTTATAGACTATCGATGATAAATGAGGTAGGGTGTACTCGGAAATTAAACAGAGCGTCAGTGTTGTGCGCTCCTGAATAGCAATTTGCGTAGACGTCAATTTATTATTCAATCTTTGATGGTAACTGTTAAGGTGGTTGGATACCCCGATCCAAATTGTGCTAGCGCATGTCTGGGGTTCAGTCAACTTAGTTTTTGTTATCTGATATTATTGTTGGAGTTCTGCTAATTAGCTTTAATTTCTCGTTAAGGAAACTCTTATTTCAGTGGCATGAAGGTTTTTGATCCCGCAAACATATTTAAGCTTGAAGATGCTCTCCTGGTTATTCGGAATCGGGTGTTCAATTTTGGGTGTTCAATTTTAGTAGAACTAGTGTAGTCGAGAGTAGACCTGATGTTCCCGTTGTACCTTCATAGCTTACAGTATTGTGATCTCCTCTGTGCTCTTGTTAACATCCAGAAGCACGTTTAGAGAGCCTTTCATTTTGTTTTCTGACCGGAAGTATTTTTATTTCGTGTAAATGCGTGATATCGCTCGTTTTTACGGAACCAGTAATTGTTCTTTGTGCAGTGTTTTGTTTAACTCTCAGACGTTGCCAGTTAGTGTTGCTCAGTGTCTGGTCGAATTGGGTGATCCATATTTCAGTACATTTCTCCCAATTGCCTTGTAGTTTCTCGTGTTTCTTTGGTGCAACCCCAAGTAAGCCGGCAAGTTTTTTCAGAGCTTTTTACAGTGTTCATTAAGGTTAACTTGGTTGTCCAATGTAACGCCTAGAATTTTTGGGTTTCGATTGGCAGGTAGCTGGGTGCCGTAAAAAATGACATTTGGTTCTAGCTTAACCTCATTTGCCCAGGTTGAACAGATAGATGTTGTAAATATATCTTTTGAGAGTGACAGATTTGTTTGTAAGGCAGGTGTTGAGTTTTTCGAAGTATAGATTTATGGTATGGGTTAAAATGCTGATGTTGGGACTTGGCGTTGTTATGGTAATAATGTCTGCGTATGTTGTTACTTTGATGCTATTACTTTCAAGTAATGGCATTTGAGTCATAAATAGATTTAAAAGGACCGGGGATAACACATCTTGGGGAACACCTTGTTTCGCCTTCCTGCATTTGGATTTAGTATCTCTGAAGCTAGGCAAGAATCCATCGTTTTGTGTTATTAGATAGTTTCGAGCTGGCGTTATCGTTGAGTGCATGGCAGTGATCAACAGTATCAAAGGCTGCAGTCAAGTCTAAAGCGTTCTTTGACATGGTTTTGCCTTGTTCAAACCGGCTTTTATGTAGAACGGCAATTAAGGGCAGTACTAGTTGATCTTTTTTGCCTAGAGCTGTGCTAATGTTCTCGAGAATCTATGTTGAAGTTAAATTCAGGTAAAAGTAGGCGCTCTATAAGTGTTGCTACTTGAGAGTGCAGTGCAATCGGTCTTTAGCTCTTAGTTTGCGCTGGATCTTTCCTGGTTTAGCTATGAGTGTAATTCTTCCCACTTTTCTGGTATGAATGCATTACTCAGTGATAGGCTCATTAAGTCTCTTAAAAGTTTAATGGCTTGTTTTCCATTGAAAAGTAGATGTATTTGTGCTATGTTTTCTGGTCCGAGCGCTTAGCTTTTTTTGCTCGACTTAACTGCTTCTTCCACCGTTTTCATGGAAATTTTAACTTCGTTAATTTCTAGTTGCTGTAAATTGCCTATAACTGCCCTTTTTCCTTTTTGTTTGAGTGGGGGGTGAGTTGTTGGTTTAACATACATATTTTTGGGTGTTGTAAATTGGCCCATCATTAAAAAGTATGGGTTCGTGTTTTGGCTTTGGTGTTTGATAGTCCTTTGACTGTAGACCAGAGTTTACTTGTTGCTCCTCGATGGTCAACATTTTCGAGAAACTCAATCCATCCGCTTTTTTTAACCTCGACTAGTTTCTTATTTTTCTGATGTAGTTCTTTTATTTTGGGGGCTCCATGGTGCTGTTTTTGGAGTTTGTTCCTTTCTTGTGAAAGTTTGAGTTTCATTTGGAAAGTTGGACTTTAACTCTGGTGGTTTAACTCGGGTGGCAAAGGTAAAGCTCAATTACTTTAATTGATTGTTGGTCTATGTGAGCGTCTTGTTGGGGTAGTTTATGTGTTTGGTAGTCGATACTTTCATTGAGAAAAATGCAAGTTCACCTCCTTTGCCGCAGTTGCTAGGTCGGTATTGGGCAACGATTTAGTATCCATGTGGGAGTTTAGGTTCATTAAATAAGAACGTTTTTTGTACTGCTGCAGTTTTAGTGGCAGTTGTTGTCATGTAGTGTATTATATCTAATTTACGCCATAAGCCGTTTCCATTGAGTTGTAGGATTTTAAGTTGATGCTCATTTTTTGGTGGGAGTGGTTATTGTTTAAGGGTGTCAGCTGAATTAATTTTATAGTAGTCACTTTGCCCACAATAAAAACTGCGTGACCATTGGTTTATATGTCGTCCTTCGCTCTCCTCATTTCCCTTCTCTCTTCTTTTCTCTTTCAAAAATCTCCTTTTCTTTCTTTGGTTCTCGCATGAGACCAGTGTAGTGTGAATAGAATTTAGGCACCTCCCAGTTTGAGGGTGCGTAATCCAGCCGCATAGAGCTATCCATTCCTTGAACTGCTTTCATGCTATAGTTGTTGTATCGCAAGTGGCGCAAAGCTCAGCTTCGCTTCTGTGTCAAATATACGCCAATAATTAATTGTTCTTGAATTTCAAAGAGCTTTAATGGCATGCCTTTTTTTCTTGAAAATTCGAAAGTTGAGGTTTTTTTTTCAAAATTATGTCAGTGATTTTTGTTTGCTTCTGCTCATTGGCTACTTTCCAACTGCCGGTTGGCTATATGTACCCCTGCGATAGCAAGGGTATTGCAATCGGGTAATAGACTGTTTTCCGTAAATAATTTGTCCACAGGACTCACTTCTGCAGTCCTTCACAAATTCTCTTTGAAAATGTTCATTTCTTCGTCCTCTTTGCAATCCTACTCCTCTCGGTTGCAAGTTTTAACCAGGGTTGAGTTTGTTATTTTAAATATCCCTTGCTATTTATGTTGGTTGTGATTTTTTCAACTCGTTTTGTTAAAATATATTTTTGTCCTTAATTCGACTTAGTTGGCTCGGGCCTGTTTTATATCTGCTTAGTGGCCTAATTTCGAGTGGTTTCAATAGAAACATACTTATTATGTTCATCTCGGGATCGAACAAAATTCTGAAAATCCTAATAGAAATTAGAGTTCAAGTTTTTTCATGACAACCTTTTGTTTTGGCTTTTTTGTGTTTCCTTTTTTTTCGGCTTGGTAAGTTTCCGCCTTTCGATGGGCCAAAAAACTTTGTGATTGCATCTCTGTGTTTTGAGGGCGAGGGGGACTTAATAACTTCTTATTAGTCTTAAAAAATTTTGATTCTTTTGTTTTTTCGGCTTGATAGATCTTGGCCTATATTATATTGGCTTAGTCGCCACATATTACGTCGTTTCACGAGCTGTTTATGTGTTTTGAGGGTGAGGGGGTCTTAAAAACTCTCAAGTGATCTTAAATTTTTTACGGCTTGGTTTTTTATTTATTTTCCTTTTTTTCGGCTTAATAGGTTCTGGCCAATATTATCTCGGCATAATGGCAGCATATTGTTTCATTTGACGCATGAATAAAGTTTGTGTGTATGTGTTTGTGTTTGTTTGAGGTGAGGGGAGTTGATTTTTTTTTAATTTGGCCGAATGGTTGTCGTCTAAGGTATTTCCGGCTTTGTTACCGCGTGATAACTTTTGTTTCGATGCTAGTTTCTTTTCTATTGTCTTGGCTCGTTGTTTTTTCAAACCTCGCCTTATCGAAAGATTTAGCCCAAAATTTTCGAATTTTTTTCGACTTAGCGGCTTTCCTGTTTTGAATCTAAAGTGGCGCAAAGCTCACTTCACCTCTTGTGTCAAACGTCACTTTGGGTGTCAAACGTTAATTGTTGCTATAAGTTAGATTAATTGACATTCCTGCGTGTTTCAAAGTATCCTTAAATTAATGCAAATTAGGTTACTTATCCTTTTATTCATTGAAATCTACTATAGAAAGAGTGTAAAAAGAAATCACTTATGATAAATTTGTTTTTTTTTGCGATTCTTAGGGAATCTCGGAAAGATTACAACTCACTCCGTAAACCATCCTCACGCGACGCGTCTATGCTGCTGAAGAGAACAACATCCAACAAAGACGCCTTATTCGGAGCATACAGAGACGCACACGAATCCAAACTTAATTGCGACACTCAAGAAACGTTAGAGGAAGAAACGATAGCCAACAAAGACAATCCAAGCACACCTAAATACTCATACATGCCAAGCAAAGCTAACTGCAAACAAACCAAATCTTCATTTATTGAAGATGCGATCAAAAATTTCTGGGCTAGCCCTAACTCAATTGTAGCTCCTCCGTCTAATCTGGAAAATTCGAGTGTTCCAGCTTATTCTCAGGTTCCAATCACACCTTCGCCAAGACTTTCATCCCATAATACTGAACCACAGCCTTTTCAAAAAGCAGCACAATCAAATGCTAATTTTACAAGTACTAATGATAAGCAGTTGAAATCACAAGTTAACAAGGTCTCGCATGCAGGCGGAGACGCTTTACCATTCGCAGACGACCTGGAGGCTTCTATGATGAGTATAGAAGCTTCGACTGACAAAGAACTACGTAGGATCCCCATTGTAAATGCAGGACCCAAAATGAGTTTAGATTTTGAAAGTTATAGAAAAAAGAATCAGCACCCGCTTTACAGTGCACCGAATACGCCCGGAATTGTAGGCGATGAGTTTGGTCTTGAGTTTGATATAAGTGATGATGAGTTTTCAGAAGAACCAAGTAAATCAAGTGCAGTTACAAGAGATACGAGTTCGGATAGTTTTGATGAAGCTGAGTTTTCAAATAAAAGTGTGACAGAACGCATAGAAAAAGATCTCCCAATTCCCAAAGTACCAAGCTTCGAGACTGGACCAACTTTGAAAGTATCGAATGTATCATTTAATAAAGGTAATTCTCGACTTATGGCAGCTCCTCTTGTGGACGAAAATTTCCCCATAGAAGATGAATGTGATGAAATTTTGGAGAACATCACTAGGACTTGTACATCTGGAGATATTGCCAATGATGTTGCTCCGATTTATGTAACTCGTGCAAATGAAGTAACAGAACCTCATGGTGTAACTTATCCGAAAGATGCGACTGGTCCCCAAGACAAAATAAGCCTTAACAGTCCCATTACGACAAATGACTCGGCCGAAAAGTTCTTAAAACACGAAAAGAACTCAGGAGATTACACTGAGACATCCATCGATTCTGGTTACAGCAATAGTTGCATGATAAAAAATTCAGAACCGAGAATGGAAATAGCGTTAGATGAGACTGAAACAGACTTGAAGGAAATCAAAGAGCATCAAGTTGAAGAACTGGGAGAGAATTCGGGCTATAAAGATTGGCGACTGGATTCAGCTCCGAAGTCTCACAGGCCTTTGTCTTGGAAATCGTCTGCGGAAGCGACACCGGTTTGTATTTTCTCATTTGATTATACTTATTCCATGTGGCTAAAATTTTTACTATGTTTGGAAGGGAAAATTTTTTATGTTCACGAGAGTTTTTCGGGTTTAGATGAGTTAAACGTTATCATTTATCTCTTAAAAGTCATTAGATATAAATTATATCATATAATGGAGTTTTAGTTCCTGTCGGTGTTACATTTACTATTTTTAGATGTAGACTTCTTCATACTTTTTACCATTTTTCAAAATCAATCATTTTCACCCTTCCTTCTATCTATTTGATATTTTCACCCTCTGACATTGAGTTTTCACTATGTCACCATATTGTTCTGCTGTTTCTTTTTCCTCACTCTATGTCATCACAGCAATGCGATAATTCGTAACAAAAGGCTAATCGTGCAAAAAGACAACCTCAACTAAACTTGGATGCATAACGACCGTACTTTAGTTACGAAAAGGCCATTACCTTAGCGGGTGTGAAAATAAATGTGAATCATAATTCACAAAACTGCAGCTATGCGAGCCAAATCTGAAAATCATAGAAAATTGTGGTCTACCTAACTTATCGTTTGTTTGTCTTCTTGTGCCATTTGTCACTCTATGGAGTTAGCTAGTTGTTAAGATTCAATGAGCGTAGTGAAGACTCTTATATAAGTCGTGATTTTTTTCCAGGAAAAATTTGTTCACGCTCAAATATGATTTTTTGTGGTTTGACTTCCGGGAGGCAAACTCCAGTATCGAACAGAAAAATTATACAAGTCACCAAAAGTGTGAATAACTCATGTTTTGAAAGTGGATTTGAATTTCATGATTTGCCACCGGAATAGTAAATTTACCATTTGTTTTTTTTTTTTCAGTGAAGTTCGAAAGTTGAAGTTTAAAAAAATAAGTCAGTTTTTTTTTGTTTCCTTGCGTTCATTGACTCTTTTCCAACTGTCTGTTGGCTATGTTTATTATTGTGAGGTGTTGCAATCGCATATCTGTAAGTCAATAGTGTAGTGTCTAGTTAGTCATTTCATTTCAGAGTGGGATTCTTTCTTCTTCTGAAACCACAACTTCTAAAGTGACTTCTGCTACTCAAGTTGTCGTCTCATCTAGTTGCCACTTAAATGACAAAAATATGACTGAAAACACACTTTGTTCACAAGAATCCAAACCAAACACACCTGTTATTCTCACCAATCACGAATCTCGTGTTGTTGATCAGTCTGTTCACATGGCTGTATTAGGAACAGATCACCTGGTCACTGCTAAAAATGACAATGACTACCAAAACTGTACTTCATTTCATTCTGTGACTAGTACTGTTACTCACCCAGCTGTTGATCTTACTGATAAAATATTGGCAGATTCTAACCAAAACGAATCTGAACCCAAAGGACTCGAGACAGACACAAGCGTTCTTGTTACTAAAAACAGTCATTTGGCCTCAAACGGAAATTTGGATCCTGAAAAACTTGACGCTTCAAATTGCCATCTTAACAATGCTGAGGTAAAAAATGAGCCTGCTTCAAGTTTGGTAGACTCAAACCCCACTGCTGTTGATAAATCTGCAATCACAGCAATCGAGACTTCTTCTCAAAATTCTATTTCTTCTCTTCTTAGCAATTCAGAACCTCGAAATGCACATGTTTCTAATACTACTTTGAACTTCGATTTACCCGACCATGGTTCCCCTTACACGAAAACAGCTTTGATTTTGATTAATCAAAAAGGACAAAGACCAATTTCCTTATACTGCGAATCATCAATCGCTGGTAGATCGAACGATCAGCAAAAATGCAGTAATTATAATTCAATCACACAAAGTAGTGTTGCTCCCCATTCAATCAGAAAATCAATTTCTCCCGCTAAGTTCGGTAAAAATGACGGATTGTCGAAGGATGAGGATAGTCGGCCTAGTCATAGCGCACTTTCGAAGTGTTACGACTCAAGTTTGAGCAAGGTTGAAGAAGATCTAAGCGCGAGTTATGCTTCCGCGCGAGACGCCATAAATTCGCCCGGAAGCAGCGTGAACTTGACCCCCAATGTAGAAGTTTGCGGGGTTAAGCTCAGGGTACGTACTTTTCAAGTTTGTTCACTCACTTCTTTTCCTGTCATCTTGCACTGTTTGTGAATCATTTTGTCATTCTTTTCTACCTAAGCTATCATCCGTCATTGATCCATATCGAAGTTTTTAGTTTTTAGATGATGATGTAACACGCATTAGTATAGTAGTTAGTTTTTAGCAAGTAATAAATGATAAACGCTCACAAACCCTCTTTTTGGGGACACCACGTGATATAATGCAAAATCCCGGTTCATTATTAACTTCTTTTTACACAATCAAGTTTTTATTCGGGAAGTCCACTTTTTTCCGAACAAGCTATTATTTATAGCTATATTTCGATTCGAAGGATATTAAAAGAATTCTTTGAAAAATTCTCCCAGTGTTGAGAAAAACCGGTTTAAATTTTTTTGTTTCTTTGTCTAAGCTCGAGCGAATAAAGTGAGCGAGCAGGCTTGTAATAGGCTTATAATAGTTATTTTTAAAATTATCAAATTAACTATTGCTTAGCTTTACTCAAGTGAAAATTGTTCTCGAAATGACTTTCAGTGCCTTCGTGTGAATAAAATCTTGAGTACGAATAAAAAAATTTCTGCATAAAATTATTTTAAAAATTGAAAGTTTTTCGTTTTCATTTTTGTTTCATTATTTATTTTATGTAAAGAACTGTTGTCAAATGCACCTTATTTATTTCTATTATCAAACTTTATAGGCTTTCGTTTAGATCCTCTCATCAAATCAAAAACAAAAAACGCGACGCAATTTGAAATAGAGCAACTGTTTTTTTTTTTAAAGTCGGATCATTCTGTGCACAGCACCCGGCTACCCTTGTTGATTCAAGTATTTTCTTGCATTTTTTTTTCGTTTTTCGCTGGTGTTTCCAAAGTGCAATTTGGCCTCTCTCTCATAAATATGCAATAATAATTTCGTTTCTGTTATCAGAAGGCTAAGGACTCGCACAGAATCAGAGAACTGAGATTAACTGGTTCGAAGAGCCTCTACACTGAGTTACCAGAGTCACATGTTCAACTGGACAGCCCGCCTTGCTACTTGCCACTATCACCAGACGAACAACTCACCCCAGTTCACCCTGTCAAGTCCCCAATGACGAAGACAAACCCCCTGGTCCAGAGATCGAAACTAGCTCAGCTGGACTTGGCACAGAGACCGAAGAATGCAGTGACACAGCCTGCGAGAACTTTCAGACCCCTAATGACGCGGCACAGTGATGATCCGGCTAGGGCACCTCCGTTAGCCAAGTCTGAAATATTCGAAGGTTGATAATTTGAGTAACCTTTCTACCCTACTGTATTCAATAAGCAATTCTGAAAAATGGATTTCGTTAACGATCTAACTTGAATGAAATTTTTTACTTTCGGAAGTTTCCAGTCTTGCGTTTTTAAAGGATTAAATTAAAAGTGAGTTAACAATTTATGTTGTTCTGTTTCTTACAGTCTGGAGCTCGAAGCTTTCTCCTGTTTATTTACGCTAGCCAGCTTGCGTTAGTGTATTAGTACGAGCCTTCTTTTTTTCTAAGCAAACTCGCAAATAATCACGATCTGTGCTCTGTTTTATTTGAGGCTAGTGTTTGTGATTAATTAAAAGTCCGTGGATAGTGCGTGAGACTCATATTCTTTCAGTCGCAGATCGAAAATACATGATCTAGCCAAATTTTTACAAATTCGAGGCCGATTCCTACTTTTCTTATTGCACTTTATAGAGCTGATTTTTGTCGTGTTCTGGCTAGTGTTTGCGAAGCGCAGCTTCGCCTCTGTGTTCAAACTTTTTCTAGTTGTTGTCTAATATACCGATGTAAAATTTTTTCTTGGTGATTAAGCGTCTAAATTTTTAGAGGATATCGAGTCAGTGGAAAATCGCAGACCCCGTTCTGTGACAGCCTCTGAACAGCACAATGTTTTCTCATTCAACCAGTACTCCCCCAGAAAAACGTCAACGCCAACCGGGACGAGAACTGGGGGAGGGGTGGGATCTAAGGTCAGAAGTGGCAAACGATTGGCACCCAGTCCCTCCTTTAATAATGGCCAAACTACACCCGCTACTTCTGGCGTGACGTCTAACTCTGTTGCCGACATAACGACCATGAGGCTAGTTGAACTCATCTGCCGATTCGATTTTTTCAGGTCTACTAATTTTCTTAGGAAGGATTTCAAGCCCCCAGTAAATAATTTCCCTCTCATAATATGGAAATACTGCTATGGTGGTGCACTATTCTTAAGAGTAATGAACGTAGTGAAGACTCTTATATAGGTCTTGCTGATTTTTTTTAGGAAAAAGTCTTAATTGATGCACTTAGGTATAATGCACTTATTGAGTTCAATTGAAATTCATCTGCTGAAAGTGACGTAAATAGCACTCTCCAAATAGGAACGTGGAAATGGCGCAAAAAAAACGTGCACGATTTCTAGTTTCGAAAGTGGAATTTATTTTTAAGAATTCCCAGTGGAATAAAAACTTTACCTATTGGTCCAGCTTTCTCAAGTTGGGTTCATGTTATCAAGAAAGCGCCCATTAATAATTGTTCTAGAAATTCAAAGAGCTTAAAGGGCATCTATTTTTTTTTTTGAAATTCGAAAGTTGAGATTTTTTCAAGAAAGTCAGTGTTTTTTTATGTTTACTTGCGTTTATAACTCTTTTCCAATCTTCGATTTGCTGTGTTTTTTTTAATAGTAGGGTGTAATGGGAAAAACAGACGCAAAACTAGAGACCTTGAACAATGAACTGCTAAGAAAAGATGGTTGATCTTTGTAGAAGTGGCAGTAGCAAGAAGGCAGGATCGTCTGCAGCGTCTTCCGAGTTTGGTCACGACCCGACTATAGCTGAGACTCCTTCTGGAGGGGGAGGGAGTGGACAGCATGCGACCTCGTCCCCACTGGAGATGTTCAGATTCCTCAACCGCAGTGCCAAGAAGACCATCACCCTGAGACGCAGTTGCAGTTTCGAGTCAATAGCGGAAAATAACAAGTAAATCAAGTTTAAAGCTTCGGAAATTTAAACCTATTTTTAAAAAATGTTTGTTGAACGTGGACACGGTATCACTGTGCAATAAATTTTAGTAAAAAGAGTTTTGCTGGGAGATAAATACCACAAAGTGTGTATTTTGTCGTCTTCTATTATTATTAAAAGTCTTATCTTGATCTTTATTCTTAAAAAGAAAGAAAATCTCGCGTGAATAAGCGAGAAATCCGCGCATCTGGTTGACAGGTAAGTAAGCAGGCATCTCATAACCATCTAACATAGGTTTAACAATTATTAACCTTCGACCTTCAACTTTAAGAAACTCATGTATCCAAAATAGATGTGCGTAAATTTTTACGCAGAAAGGTAACATGGAAATCAAAGATTTATTTTGAAGCCAATACGGGATCGCTTGGATTTGTGATCTATAACGTAGTAGTATATGTTGTATTCTAAGCTTTAATATTTTAGGCATAACAGCTACATGTTTGGCCTAGAATCTGCTAATGCTTTAAACCAAACTTAGAAACAAGTTTAATGTAACGTGTTTTCTGATTTTCCGTACTCGGAAACTTACAAGTCACTCCAATTAAATAATGCAATTAAGCGCTGATGAGAGGTTCACAAAAGTGTAAAATTGGCTTCAATTCCCGGTGTTAATTTCAGGCTACCCCCGGAACCCAAAAAGTCTTTCGGAGGAATGAACTTCCTCAAGCAAATTGGTCTTAAGAAAGCCAAAAAAGGAAACAATAACATCAATGTGGCGTCTTCTTGCTTCCCTGGCCAGTGTGCGACTACAAATGCAACACGCTTCTGCTGTTCGCCTTCAGGTGTCCCAACGGCTTCGTCTCAAATTAAGTACAGATAGATGAACTTAATAAAAAATGATTTCTATTCTGACCTTGAACTGAATTATATTTATCAAGCTTCATGGGAATGTTTTGACTCAACTTTAATGATGATGACGATGATAGAGTTTGCACACTTTTTAGTGTTATTGCAAATGAAAGCATTCCGATTTTCTCAAATTGAACCATGAAGTAGTTGACCTTGAACGGTCATTTTAAGGTCATATAGTTTCTTGAGTTAGTTAAGTTCGTCCCAAAATCGTTACCTGTTCACTTCCATTAACCCTGAAACTTTGCTAGTGTTTGAATGAAACACCTATAATTTATTGCATACTGTTTGTTTATAAAAGCAACATTACCAAATCACATCAATAATTACATCACAAGTCCGTTTTCTCTTACATTGATCTTATTGCTGTCAAAATTGTCTCAAATAGTTTGCAGTATGAATGCAGAATGCTTTCTACAATCTAAGAGGTGTCTATAATTAACATGTACTAATATGTCTCATGTTTTCGATATTTTTGTACTGAAAGTTAATTGACGTAGCTTTGATTTTGGTAACTCGGTGCTCCATGTAAATCTTACCTCTAACGTACGATAAGAATAAATCGTTAAAAAACCATTTATTTTGGTCATACAATTCCGCCGATAATTAATGTTTATACACACTCTTTTATTTCCATTACGACCGTAAAGGTTCGAGGTTCGCGGCATATGCAGACAATGCTACTCAACTTAGATAAGTTCAGAAAGGTTATTTCGTTTTATGATTGTCAGTTCTTGTGCTTGATGTTGATATGGACTGCTTAATGCAGGGCAAACTCCGATTCGTTCATAGTTTGAGCCCAAAAAAAAGTAATGTAAATCGTTTTCGCTATCGCGTGTGCATCGCGTGTTTTTTTTTGCCATTTGAGGCTTACTTGTTTTGACTGAATATCTATTGTATAATGTATCCATAGTTTTAATCGGTTATTTCAACGTCCCGAAGACAACTTAGGGTAAATGTAAACAGTTTTTCGATGGTATAATTATTGCAATGGGTCGAGTAGGAGTTTTTTTTATTCAAAGGACAAAAATAAATTTTCAATATGTTTCAACAGTGTTGTGAAAAACTGGTTCGAAATTTTTTAATTTAGGTTTTTTAGACAAATAAAGCATGCGAGTAGGCTTATTTTGTAATTCCAACCAAAATTGTTTTTCACAAATAATTATGGGAATAGATCGAGTGATATATACTACAGCCATTTCAGTCGTGATTTGAACGAAAAATTATTTATGTGTCAAGACTTTTTCAAATATTTATCTAAAAAATTTTTTTTGCAGCTGTAATTCTTGAAAAAGATGACTAAATTTCATGAAAACTTAATTCTACTGGAAATCATGAATCACACTGCTGTGTTCCGTTTTTTTTTACTACTAGAAGCCAACTCTTTGTTGCAATTTCTACTTTTAGATACAGGTAAAAACTTTCGTAGAACCATCATTTGCAGTATGAAAGAAGTTTCTATAGTCGAATTTTTCTCTTTTCAACCATCCTTTGCAATTTTAGCGAAGTTTCGATGTGAAATTTTTCTCTTGTCATCCTTCAATTTTTTAACCAATTTTTTGTCGAAATTTTCTTTTTCAAAAATTACATACAAAGGTTTGGGGTTCCAGTCCCAGCCGGACCTTGTTTTCTTCAGTATATCCGAAATTAATTTTTTCCTGTAAAAATTGAATTGCCGTCTTTTTGTTAGCCTTTTTAAGTTTTTCGGCTTAGTTGCCACATCGCGAATTGTTATTTTGCTGTAAAAACTTTCATCATAGTTGCAAGTGATGTTCATTGTAGTTTCAGGAGGACTTGGAAACTTTTTTACAAAATTATTTTTTGTTCGGATCAGCAGAAATCTGACTGTCGATTTTTTCGGCTCAGTTTTTGCTTTGTAAATTTTGTTCCGTTGCCATCAGGGGCGGATTTAGGGGGGATCCGACCCCCCCCCCCCCCCTCAGGGATCTGACCCCCTGCCGACCCAAAGGATCCCCCCTTTGTACTCTTTTGGGATATATATTTTTGGTGACGGAAAAAAAAATTTTCTAAAGGCGCCTTTGGCGCCACCAATATATACTAATTTTGAGGGGGGAGCGCGCGACAAAAAAAACACAATTTTTTGGTAAAAATTTTCCAAAAAGTGCCTCCTTTTTCGGCCTATTTTTTTCAAAATTGTGCCTGCGGCGCAGAAATTTTGGCCGAAACGGGCTTTGTAGTGCTTTGGGAGAGCTCGGAAAATCAATTTGGTCGACCTAAAAAAAAAGAAAAAAAGTCGACAAAATTTTAGAATTTTTTTTGACTTGATTATTTTGAAGGAAAATTTATTACGAAAGATTTGGTAGACCTAGTCTTTAACATTTTTCGACCTAAGTTTTGAATGTTTGTGTTATCGCAAGTGATGCGAAACTCAACTCTGCCTCTGTGTTAATTTTGGCATTGCCTTCCTTTTGTGAAATCGTGTTGTTCAATCTGTGGAAAGCAAAACTTTTTCTTAGGAGATTCTAAAAAGTATTAAATTATATTGAAAGTTTGCAGTGCTTAAGCATTTATACTGTGAATTTGCAAAAACATACAAGCATCTTTGTTTAACAGTTAATATGTCGGCTAAGTTCTTGGAAATTTTTTCCTCTGACCTTCGCAAATGAGATATGACTTTGTATTCGGGAGTGTTTTAGTTTTTTCTCAGTATTTTGTTCTTCACCCAAAAACAGGTACCACAACTACTCATCAGAGTCGTTGAGTGATATATCATGAAAATTTTTTGATTCCTTATTTGAACGATTTTTCTAAAAAAAAATACGAAGAAAAAATTTTTTTTAAATGTATTTCATTTATTTTTTGTCAGAATCTTTTTGAAAACAAATGTCAATTAGGTCTATTTCACGAATTTTCTACCGGTTTGTATAGTTTTTTTGTCCGACACCGAATTAAAAACGTCTCGAATTCGAAGAAAAAAGGGAAAGTTTTTTCTTTAGTTTTTCATATGAGTGTGGTCGAAACATTCAAAGATACTTGCACAGTTTTGGTGTAGCTAGGGAAAATTTGGCATCCAAAAAAAATTCAATTTAAAAACTAAAATAAACATAAGAAATTATTTCAAAAACAAATCATAAAATATTTCAGGCCGATTTTTTTATAATCATCTTCAGATGCGTTTCCATGAGTTCCATTTCCTGAGAATATGGGGCAGAAATATATTTTCAGCAAACAACAATTCTTGAAACAGCACCAAGATACTTATCGTCTGCTCCCAAAATGAAAGAAAATAGGTAGTTTGGAAAAACTAAGGCAAACTCTGACATAGGGAGACAAAAATCAAGAAAATATCTTAGGTTTCTAAGCGCAAACGAAAGTTTCCAACTATTTTAAAAACCTAAAAGCAAAAATTAAATTACTCTGAAACGTTCAAACATATTTCGTGCCAACTCACTGAAAATAGATCAATTCCGGAAAAACAACGAAATGGGTTAAAAAAATAGTGACGAAAAGGGTTATCTCACTGGGAATTTGTAGCGTTTTGACGTTTTCACGATTTTTGTATTGATGACTGCTTGTTAGTGCCCTTAACTTTTTTGCATTGTCTGACATTTTTATGAAAGAAAAAAAAAGATTTGGGCCTCGGAAGTGGAGTACACATTGCGATCACTGCTTTATAATGCCCATGATTTTTTCGCATCGTCTAAAGTTTTTTCATGCAAATTTTTTTAGTTAATTTGGGCCTCGGCAATAGTGTACATTTTCGTTTCAATATACGAAAAATCATACTACGACTGATATTTCATCAAAGAGGCCCCTCTCTTTGATGAAATATCAGTCGTAGTATGATTTTTTCATACTACCACTGATATTTCATGATCAAAAACTACGACTGATATTTGATGAGATCAAAAATAAAACAGATACTTGAATTAGTTGTTTCGACAAATATCAAAGGTATTATTCAAGGAACTATTCTTCCATTTTTTGTTGTTTGCTGAAATCTCAGAATGAGTATATCAAACGCAGTATTTTCTTCCATTTTTGTTCCATTTTCACCTTGTTCTTTTTTTTTAAATTTGTTTTTTGTATGATTCAAAAGTTTTGCACAATTGACAGTTGCTGGAACATTTTTGTGTTGCTAACGAAAATAATAAAGCTATTGGTACAAAATGAAGCGAACTGAACCGATTGTTCAAAAAACCACTCGATTGTGTTTTTCGTATTTTTATAGAGAGCGGCGGAATATTTACGCTTGGTGTCTTTTATTCAGACCATCTTTGACTCGTAAAGAAAATGTTTTTCACGACCAGTTGTTTTTAACCTGAAAATAATTTCTTTTTATGCCTTGAGCCCGAAGATCAAAATCTGTTTTCCTGTAACAATTTTTTCGTGAACTTAGCAAGTTCAAAAATGTACCACTTTACAAAAAAAAACATTCGCGCAAAATTTCCAATTTTTGAGCGCGTAAACTGCAGGTTAATCCGGCTCAAAAATTGTTTGAAATTGAATGAGAGCAAATTGATTGATCTAATGATTGCATTTATCTTTCAAATATAGTCGGTAACTGCGCAAAAATGACATAATAAATCATAAAAAATAATAATAAAATCGAAAATCGGTCTGATTAATGAAAATAAAAACAGGAACTTTTTCCAATTTTTGTTAAATTTGCATTTGGGTTTCATCAAGGATATTCAAATAGGTCAAAAATTGTTTTAAAAAAGTAAGATTTTTTACAGCTAAAAAAGCTTACAAGTGTGTTTGAAAAAAATTGACAGACCAGTGTCATTTAAAGTTTTGAAAAATATCAAAAAGCTGAAAATTTTAAACCAATTTATCTTCTAGCTGAGACAAGGTTTCAGATGAAAAAAACTAAGACAATTTTTTTGGAATCCAAATCACGGCTGAATAAAGGTAAACATGGCATCACGCTTGATAAATCCTCTGAGGTTTTCGAGTTTTCTTTAAGGTAGTCAAATTCGGGTGAAAAAAAGCATTGGCTATTTATGTAAGGAAGAATTTCGGAAATCGAAACAATAACTTCAGTTTGAGCAAGAAGTCTCACACCCCAATGAAATTTTATTAAAAATCAAAACACTTTTGTTGATAAAAGATCAGTTGATCAGTTGTAGTCTAGTTTGCTTCAATACTGAATTGCAAATTTACTCAAATGCTGAGGCCTGAATCATATTTTTAGAAATTGCGTTTACACTTTCAGCATCATGAATAATTGCTGAGAAACTAGCTTATAATAGATTCAGAGACTTTTACCTATATCGCAAACTAAATCCAAGTAATATACATTATTTGTGATTAGTTAAAGCAAATTTCTGTGAATCTATTGTAAGTAGTAGATGTCGGAGTTTGAGTGGGGGGGGGGGGGATGGTGGTGGTGGTGGTGGTGGAAAACCTTCATGTTTTGAGATAGGGAATAGAGCATCGGCCTTCCAGTTTTGTATTAACATTGGGTATAGAGTCTACAATGTATCAGGGTAGGGAGTACCAATGGTAAGGTATCATGGTTTGTGTGATGATAAGAGAATTGTCAGAAAAACGATTTTTTTTTGGTTTTTGTGTTGAAATGTCTAATTTTTTTGCAGAAATCTCGGCGCGCGTTATCTAAATAATAAATACCACTGGTAAATTACGTGTAGATTGTGGAATGAATGTCTTTAAATAGTTTTTTGGTGCATGGTAAGTCAAATGGTTAGAGTTTTTGAGCAAAAATTGAGATTTTTTATCAAAAAAAAAATGATTTTTTTAAAAAGAACTTCGAAACACGATAATATTTGTTATAATGCCACCTATTAACTAATTTGTTAGATAACCTTGTTTGTTGAAACATCTACTTTGAAGATTCGGAAGAAGCATATATGTCAACACAGTTCTTGCGAATTCAGAAAAATCATATCATTGATTTGAAACAACATCTCGAGAGATATTTAAATACTTTACCTGTTTTTGGATTTAACAGTGGTAGATATGATTTGAATTTGAGCAAGTCCTACTTAATCCCTCATTTAGTTCGCGATAAAGAATAAGAAACATCAGTCACCAAAAAAGCAAATGGTTTAATATCTTTCAAGTTTGGAGATGTACAATTTCTTGATATAATGAAATTTCTGGGTGGAGCAACAACTCTGGACTCCTTTCTCAAAGCCTATAAAACTAGCGAAACGAAAGGAATCTTTGTCTATGAGTGGTTTGATAACCCAGACAAATTTGATTTTCCCGAATTGCCACCGTATGAAGCTTTCTTCAGAAAGCTTAAAAACAATAATCCTCTAGACAAAGATTTCACTGATTATGAGAAGCTGAAAAAGAGTGGACTTGACAAACAACAGGCACTGAAAAAGCTTCAAGCCAAGACCGTTCCTCCATCTGGTTTGGATAATTACAATTACTCACGAGAGACTTGGAAGAAAAACGGAATGACTGTGTTCAAGGACTTTTGGCAGTGGTACAATAATAAGGATGTAGTTCCAACCATGGGGCGATACAAAAAATGATTCGGTTTTATCATAACAAGGAAGTTGATATGTTGAAACTTGGATGTACACTTAAAAGTCGAGCAAACATATGTCTACCTAAATCTACAAATTATAAGTTTTATCGATTTTGCGAAAGTGATAAAAATTTGTGTGAAAGAGTACGAGAAAACATGACCGGTGGACCTTCCATTGTATTCACTCGAAAAGCTGTGAACGATAAAAAAAAATTAATCAGAAATTAATCAATTGTTTGTAAATCAATCGTTGGAATTGATGCAAGTCAGCTCTACCCCTTCTCATTGTGTCAAGATATGCCAAAAGGAGTGTGCACGAGATGAGACTTTGACACTGATATGCAGAATTTTAGAACTAGACATAATCGCACGCGCAAATTTGAGAATATGGTCATGTTTTTTTACTAGGAAGCAAGACCAGAATGAAAAATTGTTTTGCATCTGGAAAACAGAAAAAAGTCGACTGTTTTCATGTGAACGGTTATTATGATCACTGTAAAACTGTGTTCGAAGCAATGGGATGCTACTTCCACTTCTGTTCCTGTCAAGAAGCTCATCTCTCGTTAACAGAGCAGGATACTGAACGAGGAAAAAAGAAGAGAGAGATGGATGATATGAGACGGGAATACATAAAAGAGAAAGAATACAAAATTGAAGAAAGGTGGGAGTTTGAGTAATAGAAAACCGATGACAAGATCAAAAAAAAAACGTCAGAATCTAATTTTTCTACAAAAGACCTCTTTCTACAGACTCCTTTCTAGCAAAAAAAGAAGGATCTCATTTTGGTTATGTTCAATGCAATTTAGTTGTTCCAGATTAACTGAAGTCAAAATTTGCCAACCTTTCTCTAATTTTCAAAAACACTGATGTTGGAAGGAACCATATTGGAGACTACATGAAGTATCATGCAATCGAGAACGAAACAATAAAACATCCTCAGAGAATGCTGATATCTAGTTTCAAGCTAGAAAATGGAACAGTTATAACTCCTCTCTTCAAGTTTATATGGAACTTGGCTTGCAGTGCACCAAAACTTACCGTTTTGTTCAGTATTCTCCTCGGAAATGCTTTAATAATTTGGTTCAATCAGTGGTTGATGCGAGAAGAGAAGGAGATGAAAACCCTTTGTCAGGAGTTGTAGCAGAAACTATGAAGCTTTTGGGTAATTCCTCCTATGGATATCAGATCATGGATAGATCCAGGCATACAATTACGAAGTATCTGAACGATGAAAAAACTCATAAAGCGATCAATGAGCCCTTGTTCAAAAGATTGAATGCAGTTGAAAAAGACTTGTATGAGGTGGAGTTGTTGAAATCGACCATTGAATACCGAGAACCCATCATTGTTGGCTTTTTCTTCATACTGCAGTATGCGAAACTGAGAATGTTGGAACTCTACTATAACTTCTTTGACAAGTTCTGTGATGTAAATAACTTTGAGGAGTTGGAGATGGATACAGACTCACTTTACTTGGCACTTGCTGAAGAAAACTTGTACGACTGTATCGAACCAGAAAAACGGATAATTGGGGAAAAAAATTAGGGAAAATGACTGCAAAATTCAAGGCTTTTTCAAGGCGAATGCAAAATCTTTTTTCTTCCCTAGAACGTGTTGCAGTACGCATGAAAAGCATGATAAACGGGAGCCGGGACTTTTCAAAGAGAAGTTTAGATGTACAGAAATGCTATGTTTGTGTAGCAAGACATATTGCTGCTATGACAACAAGTCCGATAAGTTCAAATTTAGCAGCAAAGAAATAAATAAACGGGTTCTAGAAGATTCTGGAGACGGTCCCATGACAAAGTACAGGAGAGTACTCGATGAAGCAGTAAACCTTACATCTACTAACAGAGAATTCAGAACTGTAAATCATATGAGCAAACAAAGAAAAGACTTAGTTATTTTTATCCCAAAACACAAGTTCGAGATGATGGAACTCATACAAAACCATTGAACTTATTAGAACTGATCTGATGTAGTAAATTTTTTTATGATGTCCTATTATATTGGTTTTATGATATTAAAATGTAAAATTTTGAGGTAAACTCAATCTACAATGCAGTGATTTACAAACTTTTTTTGTACCTTAATTTTTTAAAATCAAAAACTCAATTTTTACAAATTTCAGTAGGTTTCAGACTGGATTCAGCTAGTTGGTATTCCCTATTTTTATACATTACAGACTCTATATCCAATGTTAATACATAGCTGGAAGATTGTATGCTCTATTCCCTATCTGAAAATATGGGGGTCTTCTAGGACCCCCCCCCCCCCCCCACTTAACCTCCAATTTCTGAATGCAGTTATAAAAAGGCGTTGCTTGATCTGGGCCTCAAGAATTGAGTAGACTTGCAACTCAATATAGGAGCAACACAAACAACAACAGAGATTTCATCAAACAGCAGGAAATTTCAGATCAAAAATAAGATAGATACTTACATCTATCTCGACGAAAATTAAAAATTGATATTTCATGATATTTCTAGGAACAATGGCTTGGACTGGAAATCTTTGACGACTGTTTTCTGAAAAAATTTTCCAATTTTTTCAAAATTACACCGATTTGAATTTTGTTGTCTGCTCGTTCCATTGTTTTGCTTTGATCTTGTTTTTTCACTTTTTGCTTTTTTCTTGATTCATCTTTTTTCACTTTCGCACAACTGATATTTGCCGGAACATTCTTGTTTTCTTGATTCAAAATTTTCGCTTAAATGATTTTTGTCGGTACCTTCTTGTTTTCATGATTCAATTTTTCGCACAAATTCTGTCTGTCGGGACATTCTTTGTTTCTTGATTCAAAATTTTTGCACAACTGATATTTGGCGGGACATTCCTGTTTTCTTGATTCAAAATTTTCGCACAACTGAAGATTGACAGCACGCTGAGATAATTCCAAGTTTTTTTTGGAGGTAGTCAAATTCGAGTGAGAAAAAACATTGGCTATTTAGATTGAGAAGAATTTCGGAAATTGAAAAAATAGTTGCCAGTTCAGCGAGAGTTTTTTATAATCCAATGAAGACTGAATTAAATCTCAAAAGTTATACATACTTGTATCTGCAATTAGTTTAGGCAAAATTCTGTGAATCTACGACTAATGTGTGCCAGTTTTTAAGCAATTATTTGTGATGCTGAAAACGTAAAAGCAGTTTTTTATCCCGCATTATTTATCTTAAGTAGTCCAAATTAATTTACGCGATCTAGTGTGTTATATACTCCACATGCAACTCAAATATAACACTTAATACTTGATATTGGCTGTTGGGGAGGAAACATTCATCAACATTTTTTGCCTGACATTTTTTGGTAACAGTTAAAGGGCAGTCTGAACAAGCAAGATTTTGCCTTGATTATTGCAGTCATTTTTGCAAAATAAAAATACTTTAAATACAAAATGCTCAAAATTGAAGCCATAAAATTAATTTCCTCTTCCAAAATGTCTACTCAAAGTGTCAAAATGGTATTCTAAAAAATCCGGCAGATGTTCAAATTCTACTACGTATTCATGTGCCACGTGAACAAAAATATATGGTTTTCAAATGGTAATTAAACGTGCGCTTTTTCGGCCGCAATCAAAATTCATATATTCTGCTTTTCTCTCTATGCATTTTTTTTCTCTACAAAAAAAACTAATCTAAAGCGAATATGAAAGCTCATTTGGTTTTACTATATCAGAAATTTTTACTCAATGGCTTATTTTAATACGCGTTTTTACACGGTTACATTTTTGATGTTTTGTTTACAAGTGGTACACCTTTAGAACTTCTAAAACGTGCAAATTTGTGAACCGTTTTCATTTGTTTGATGAAAACGCTATTGTGATAATCTCAATATTGCCATTCACATTGCCGTTTGATTTGCTGTTCGAAAAACTGTTACTGAATTGAATCATAGTACGCTTCACTTGTTTTTACAGGATTTACAATATATCAAAACGGGACATTAAAAGAGAAGAAAACAAAAAGATCGACGAAAACTTAAAAAAAAAACGAAATGAAGAGAACTAGCAGCATTAATTGAAGTATCAAAGAGGTCAAGTAATTTCCTGGAAACCACGTTCCTGAGGCCAGAACTTGGGTGCAGAAATTGATGCTACTCCTAGTTACATCCAAAAACTAAGAATTTATTTCGAAAGAATTGAAATCAGCAAGATTGAGATGACACTAAAACGAAGAGGTAATCTCGTTTTCATTTTGTGTTTCATCACCATATGCTTTGAAAAACTGCAAGCTTAAGCTGCACACTGAGTCATTTTTGTTGTTTGTATCAAATTGAGGATTTTATATATGCGATTAGGCAGATTTTTAGTTTGTTATTGCGCGAAGCAAAAAAACTGCAATTAATTTAAAACACATACTAGATTATTTTGCTATTTGAATCTGTTTATTACAGGTCTTGCTATTTCACTTTCGCAAAAAAATCCCCTAAAAGTTCAAATTTAGTTTTAGCTTCACTATTGACACAGTTCGACTCATGTTTCGTTACGGTTAAAAAATTCTGCCATCTCAACTCAAAATAGCTGGAAACTTAAAAAATTTTATGGTCGATGGATCAAGTGATCTCGCCACTAAGTTGAGCTTCAGTTTGATTGACCATACTTTTTTTTATATAAACCAAACGTAAAATAAGATGCAAATAGAACTAGTTGGGATGAAATTATGTAAAGGATTTTCCTATTTCATCCAATTCTTATTGGATGAATTTACCAGGTGATAGCTTAGAGGTGAAAGTGTTTGAAATTTTAAGTAAAACGTATGATTTTTTGAACAAATTATCGCAAAGGATTCAGTAATGTTGCAGTACCTTGAGATATAACCTGAGTTGATCTCTGACACAGCTAAAGTGGCACTGTACAGATACTCATGCATTGATCGAAATTAACTGAAACATTATTGAAGCTGTACTTATCTATTCTAGGAGACCAATCGATTAGCTTTCTGGAATCCAAACCATAAAATAGCCCCCACCACAGTTTTTTAATTGGAAAATTCAAATAAAAGAAAACTTTCATTTTACAGTTTATTTTTCCCCAATTAAAATTCTATCTCTAATTGATGAAAAATAGTGAAGTAAAAAATTTTAACTCTCAAAAAAATTCAATAGTGTTCGCGTTTTTGCTCATCACATCGTTTTTGATTATGTTTTTATCTAATCCGTTGATATAGAAAAGATGCTTAGATTGGTTATATTTAACCGTAAATAATTTTGAGCAAAATTGATAATCACTTGTCTTAGATAATCTGAACACACAAACCATAACATAATTTATCAAGCGGTATGAAATTTTTTTTAATGACAATTAAAAAATTGACTACAACGTAGCTTCTAAAACCAAAATGAACAATAAATTTCTGGATTGAAGTTTCAATAGTTACGCTTGCGATAAGCAAGCGTTATCAAACTAGAATATAGACTTTTTTTCGGGTGAACAACTAGTTTAACAAAATCAGTTGAATCACTTCTTTTCACTTCTCTTCTTATCTTTAACTTCTCTTCTTACTTTTCGTAACATGGTCCAGGTTGCTTGCCACTTGGTCTGGAGGTAAAGCAGTTGCCTTAGTACCCTGCCTTAGTCGTGGCCGGATCTTGTTTTTTTTTAATATCAAAGAAATTGAAAAAAAAAATCCGAGAAAAAAGAATAGTTGGTTTTTTGTTTGTTCGCCTTGTTTCTTTTGGTAATTTTTGTTCCGTTGTTGCTGATTTAAAAATCAAGTGCCTGGCTCGTATGTTTGGAATGAACTTCCATTAAGACATAGGAAAGTTTACTTAAAAAGAAAACATAAAAAGCCAAAAATGAAAATTTTTGAAAAAAAAAACTGTTTTCATTTTAAGTTAGTGTAGTGTTTCAAGCAGAAAATTTTGACTATTCTGACCAGATAAGAATTATAAGGGGCGTATTGTTACAATATCTATGAAATTTTTGGAAAGTCGTGTAATATTACACATTCCTGACTATCAAATTGACAATTTTTGAGAAGGTTGTAATTTGATTTTATTGATAATTTGGGGTTTTACGGATTAAGTTTGATGATGGACTCAAATTGTCTCAATTTATAGTTTATATTTTAAAATCATCATAAAAAAATTCTTTATGCTTTGATAAAGTCTGCGATCAGCAAAGCATTATCAATTTGGGACTTTTTTGGGTTAACTAACAATATACTTAACAAATCAACTTGACTGGTTGTTAATGCTGCTGTAGTGGACATTCCCAATCCGTTAAAAGTTCAAATTTTACTTCTGCCCACCAGTAACTACTGGTAAATCCTTCTTCTAGAATTCAAACCATTGTATGTAATAATAAAGAAAATTAAAGTTTTTGATAATAATTTTGGTGATGTTTTTTCGGCTTGATGGTGTCGGTTTAGTTTCCAAGTTTAACACCTTCCTTTTTTGACATACTTAGCACTCTTTGATCATATGTGACCATCCTTACCTACACTTTTTCTCCATTAAAAATTTCAGCTTACTGGCTGTTGGCTTTATTGTTGTCGGCTTATTTATCTAATATTGTGATTTCTAAAATAAACTGGTATTATTTTGAATTCGGTTAATCCAGAATGACAAAAAAAAATTTCAAATGCTCAAAGTTAGTCCCACAAAGATTTTAAAAAGACTAACTGTGATTGTTTCAGTCGTTCAAATTTTTTTTTGATTATTTTTTGTTTTCAGTTTTTTTTTTTCATTCTTCAATTCCCTCCTTTCTAAGATGATAAATTGTTCGACCTCTCGTTTTTATCGTTGACATGTGGTATTGCTAGTGGTGCAAATTTAAGTTTTGCCTCTGCATGAAATGTTAATTTTAGATTTTGGTTTGGCGACTAAATTTCTAATTTAACAACAATGCCTGATTTCAACAAAAATTTTTCAATCAAATTTAAAATAGATGATTTAAAAATGACTTTTGAAGTTTATGGAATATCAGTTGTTCAGAAAAAAATTTGCTGCGCGGTTCGGTAAACAAGCAAAACCCTGTAGGAAATGAGTAGCAAGACAAAATTTGAAAAAAGTCAATAAAATGATGTTTTATGGCAGATATGTTTTTTTGCAGCCGAATATCATTAAAATTAAAAAAATCATGAAAATCAAGCGTACTTTTTCAAATTTAACTGCCAAACCATGGCAAAAATGCCTTTTCCTTTTTGACCTATAACTGTAGTTTGACATGTAACAAATTATTTCAATTACGTCTACAACAAAAAAAAAATTCCCATAAATACCTGGATATTAAAACAGAATGTGAACTCTTAGACAATTAGAAAAATTTTATATTTAATCAAACTTGGCCAAAGTTAGGAAATTTTTGCCAAGAAAAATTATAATATTTGAAATTTAGAAAATCTGCCACAAAAAGTCAACTTGAGCCGATTCGACTGCCGCTTGTTTGACTGTATTTGACTGCCCTCAATGTTTAAAAAAAGTCATCTTTAGAAGAATTTTAAGAACTGAGAGTTTTTTTAAATGTCGATTTTTTTTAAATAATTCTTCCACACGCTGTGTCAAGAACTTAGTGATATTGTTAGCGTTTTGCAATCTTTTAGTACATCCAAATAGCTTGCCTCAAATCAAATTGGAACAATTTCTGAGCCGGGTGGAATAAATTGTACAAAACAATAGATTGTATAAAAAAAACTAAAAACACACCGAACAGAAATATATCATCCTTTCTTCAAAAGTCCTAAAAACAAGTTTCTTGCACCAATTGGATTCCTCATAGACTTGTAGAAACTGCTTCACTGCTACATCATAGGTGAAAACAATTTGAAACTAAGTTTTTTTTCACAATAACAACTTTTCTTAGTTTTTTCCAATCACAATAAGTATATAGTTTTGTTAACTGGCGACGAAATAGTCCAAAATTTTACACTTGCAGGTTAAGCAAAGTTTCCGCTAGAAACAAATTGAAATTATAAAACTATAAAATCATCAAACAAAAACAAAAAAAGTAACAGAAGAGTTGAACATCTTGTTAAACTTATGCAAAAAGTATTAATTATTACCTCAGAAAAATCAAGATAGTTGGATCCAAACACGAAACTTTTTTCTCAATACTTTCCTTGCAGGAATAGCAGGGTGCAATAATTTTATGTACTTATCCGTTATAGTCTGCTTGTCGGTTGGAATATAATTACAAGTTATCATAGGGAAGGTTGTTAATGAGACCTTTTTTCAGTCTACGCTGACTTTTCTAGCTGTTCTTTGATATTTTGTAGATTTCCAGAAAGCAGTGAACTTCCTGCAGGAGTTCCAACTGAAGTTATCGGAGACAGAAGAATCAGCCGAATTGAGAGACAGTCTCAATATGTGTTTACTTCACTTACAGAAATACTACAAGGTTCGTTTTTTCGACTGCAGGGTTATTTTGAGTGGGGGGAGGGGTTAAATGGAGATGCCTCAAAAAGAACTTGGCTCCCTAGTCACCCAAAAAATTTTGGGTGACCAAATGTAGCCAAGAAATGTGGCAGGAGATCCGAATTTTTTTTTTGAAAATTGTCAGCAGTGATTTGGAAAACTCGGAAGGTGGTTGACCTGTAAATTGTTTTGTCAGACAAATGTTTTTGCCACGTTGAATTTTTCTAAACATCGTTCCGGCCTCAAATTCCCCAAGACAATTTACCGGTAGCCATTTAACTCTTAACCAGGGCACAAAAGCTGGTTTCCTTAATGAACTGAACAGCTCGTACAGTGCGGTACTTTTGTTCTAGATACATCCTCTGAGTTTTTATATTTTGTTTTCCAATTATAACTTCATGAAAAGTTTTCTTTTCCAATGAAATATATATTATTGTAAACGATAATATAGATCATTTGCTCGAAATTATAAATCGAGCAAAACATTATAGCATATCAGACTTTGATTCAAAATGTAAAACAGTTTGATAAGCCCGCAAGTTATGTAATTGTTTCCAAAATCGCGAGACACGATCTCCATGTCAATGCAGTTTTTTTTCTGGTGAAATTTATCTCGCTAGCTGTCTAAAATGATAAGTTCAGGTCTCACTAGTGACAAATCCAAGGTTGATCTAGACACATGACATTATTCTTGAACCATCGAAACGTCAAAAATTCTTCTGGCGTATCGTACGGAATTTGTTCACTCCACAAAGAACCAATTCTTAATAGGTAAGGCGCCCCATTAAGGTGATAGAGTCCTGGGTGGTGCCTTCGCTTCAGTGCGCCCTTTCCAAACCCAATTTTTGTTACAATGTTCACACAGCATTTGGGCGAGTAATAAGCAAATAGTAAGTTCAATGATTTTCCATCATCGGAGTAATCGGTAACTTTTTCGATGTATTCGCTAGGCTTCATCAATAATGAATGGAAACCGGTTGAGAAGTATTGAAGAAACTGTGTCTGGCAACAACCATGAATCCCTACTCAACCAAACTAGTTTTAATAATATATTAGACAAAAGAACAGCCTTAACTTCAATTCCACAAGTAAATCAATCATCTAGTATTTAACACTTGCGAAGCTAGTGTATTAGTACGAACCTTCTTTTCTTTCCAACTTTGGGGTCGCAAATATTGGTGGGGCACCCCAATAATGGTGGGGTACCTTTACAGTTTTTTGATAACATTTGCTTTGACATTCGAATAGTAATAAATTAACACAATTGATGCATTTATAATTCATCAAATGAACCGAAAAAAGTGATTTGTTTCGAAAAACATAAGAACCATGAAAACTCCATTTCAGAAATTTTCGAACTCATATCAAGCAATTTTTTGAAATGCATAATTTATACATAATGTGGTTTTATGCTTTGCCATTTTTTATACATGCAAAAATAGTGTGGATGCCTGCCTTCAGTTTGTTATATTCCATATTATTACTTGCAAAATTGAGTCTATTTGTATTTGGTGCCTCTTTTGCTGAATCGCATTGGCAATTTTTTAGCATATGTAGCTGCTTTATTCGTGACTAGTGTTTGTCTGTTGTTAAGCTGCTTGCGGCGTGGCTGGCTGAGTGGATAGTGCATGAGACTCAAAATCTCTTGATTGCAGTAGGTCACAGATTCTAATGCTACACGTAGCCGAATTTTTGCTAATTAGAGGCTTATTTCTACTTTAGTTCTTTTAACAAGGCAGAAGGCCAAACTAGTGATAAGTTTCAGTTACGAAAAGTATATATAAGTATATCATGCAGCAAAATTGTTTTAAAGTTTTAAAAACAACGGTGTATTTTGCTCCGACCATTGAAAATGGGGAGAAACTTTGTATTCGTGTGTTTTTTTTTTTGCTTTTTGTTTTCCACGCAAAATCAATTCTAATTTTTGTTTTCGTTTTTCTATTTTTCTCCAAAAACTGTTTTTCGTTTGAAATATTTTCCTATGACTCTCAAATATGCCGAAATTTTCCTTTTTTGTTCAGATTTTGTTATCACAACCTGCAGAAAAAAACGACTTTGTCAAATAATTTTTTTTTTGTGTTTTCTAAAACTGCAGACGGAACATTCTGTGCTACTTACACAGTAGCCGGCTATCCTGGTTTTCAACTGAGGTTGAGTTTTTGAGTTCGTTAAATCGTTTTATTGAAAATGTAAATTGATTTGCATCAGTATTTTTTCAATTGAAATTTTCTAAGTTCGATTATTCAGCGAGAGGTTAGTTTCAGAAACAGGTGTTATTGTTAAGAAACGGATACTATCTTCTATTGGATTGTTATTGAATTTACATTATAGGATTTGCGTTTTTCACTGACCTGAAAGCATAAGGACAGTTTTAAAACGCTCATTCTTGTTTCATCGATTCTAATAATGGTTGACTTGATTCTGAAAATGATGAAATTTGAGCTGGATATTGATTTTTGAAAGAATGTTTGCCTATCCATTGTTCAAACTCAAGGAAATAGGCTGGCAGTTGTTTAGACGCTGATTATGACTGATTTTTTAAAACTATTTGTTTTGTAATTTTGGCGAAGAATTCGTCGCAGAAAAGTCGAATAATTGCTAAATTATCTGATCTCTGTTAGCTGCTTTTTGCTCCGACTATCGATGAAAGTGACGGAATATTTGTGTTCGGGGTGTTGTCTTGAGCTCAAAATTAAAAATATGTGATCATTTTTTGTATTTATGGGGGTTTAATGATTGCCAATTTGAGCAATTTGGGACAATCAACGCGTTTTTTTAGCAAACAATACTTCATAGACCTTATAATGCAGTCACAACATCGATTCAAGGCTTCGCCCTGATACAAAGAGTCTTGTTTTGAATGGCAAAACTAATCCAATCAATTTACTGAAAATATTTTCCCCCTTACTAGTAATGTTAGCTTTTCAGCTAACTAAAAGCTCTTAGTTAATAAAAATTAAATTTTCATTCAATTAGTACCGCGATAAACTTCGCCGCGATTAGTACCGCGATTTTTTCCTATGTTATTTGTTTCGATTCTGACAAAAGTGGTAAACTATTTGTGCTCTCGTGCTTTTCTATCCAACACTGATTTTTTCCTAGTGTCATTAAGAAACTTTTTTCCCTCATTTGCAATAAAATTTCGTGCTGTCATTTAATTTTTCGCAAAAAGGTTCGAAAATAAACTTAGTTTAAATAATTGCTCTAATTTAATTAATGGAGCGAACTTTATCGCTTTGAGCGTGACATCAAACTTTGAGAGAGGGGGAGGGGACGGGTGTTTTTATTTACTTCAAAAGCTACTTCAAAAGTGTTAAGCGGCATTCGGAACCTTCAGCTTTCAGTCTTGATGTTTTTTCTTCAATTTGGAAAAGTTTTGAGCTAGATTAATTCGTCACATGCGGTACACCGGACGAAAATTGCAAAAATTTTGTTGCATTGTCCTACATTGTTCAGGTGGGCAAAAATAAAACCCCCTTGCTCCGCAAAAAATATCACAAATCAAATTGTAAAAAAACCAAGTTCAATGCATCAATGTTTTTCAGATGGTGTAGTGTAAACTGTTTCAAATTTTGTTCGCGTTAAAATCAAAATGGTCTGGTAAAATGTTAAGAGCTTAAATCCTGAAAATGTTAAGTGCTATAATTAGTAGCAAAAAGTTCGGACAGACAGAATTAATTAAAATGAGCAATCAGTGCTTTTTGACGGTTTTTTGCATGCAAAATCTGAAGCCGAACATCCTTGAGTTTTTTGTCAGACCAAACTCAAAATGCGAGATCGTCGATTATTATGCTAGCCTAATTTTTAAAGATTGCGATGAACATCCAGATTTTACTAAAAATTATTTCGACGCTTCGTATGCAATTGCCCGCCGTGGTTATAGTTTTTGAGCGAAACTCGGATCTACTTAACAATCCCCCCTTGTTGTATTTACTAAAGAATCTCCACCCCTGTAAATGACAACATTAAATTCGCACTACAGCATTGTATGTAAATTTGAATTTTGCTGCATTCTGATTGGTCGAAAGTTCGTTGCAAGTAAACTAATTAACAATCTTCCCTTTCTTGAAAAAGGTGAGTGTTAAGTAGTTCCCGAAACTCTGCTTTATGAACTTTCGACGTTATGTTTATTTCAGTTTTAATTTCCGTTAATGTCTGGACAGTTGCTCTTTTTAATTAATTCTGTCTGTCCGAACTTTTTGCAACTCTCTATAAGAATGCTGTACCAATAAACTAAAACAAAATTAGAAAATCGAAGAGATCAATCAGTGCCGTGATTCGAAATGCTTAGAAACATGCCGCAAGATTGGCTGCAGATACCTGGTTAAATAAATAAAATCAATTCACAAAAAACTTTTAGTTTTCCTTTTTTTTCTTCTCGTTTCATTTTATTTTTTTGCAAAAATTTTTGAAAGGTTTCAACGCTCTTCTTCAATTTTATTATTTTAAATCGTACCGATAAAGTTGTGTCTGGCGTAGATTGGACGAAACAAGACTTCGCATTGTTCTCTGATATTTCTTTCGAGCCAAACATAATACTCGGAAGCTATATTTACATCCTGATGGTTTCTGGACATAGATGCAGCAGGATTTTCGCTTATTTCTCCAATTTCATAAGAAGACAAACAGTAAACATTGGAAAAACGACCGCAAAATTTCCAGGATACAATTCCCAAATTTTGTGGGATTATAAAAGTCAAAGATGTCCAGTTAAACGTTCCTGGTGATGTTACCACTAAATCCGGAGCCATGTTGGCGCTCTTGAAAAAACAAAAGCTAATCAGAGAACAATAGGCTGCAAATAAATATGTCATTGCGTAATGATTGGTAAATATTGACAATTAACGCATGCGGATTTACTTTGCGGTTTGAAGGTTGCTAAATTTGACTGAAATGAAAAAAATACTCAGAAAAGATCATATGGCCAAAATAGATCAGCATATTAAAATAGAAGTAATAAATATTACAACTAGGTAGATTCCA